ACAGGCATGAGCCACCACACCCAACATGAAATTCTTAATTTTTAACTAGTTCCAGGTGATACTGATGGTGATGGTACAGGGACCACCCTTGAGTAGTGACATGTTTAAAATTTGGGTAAGATGACTACAATATCTATGAAGGTTTTTTAATATACATTGGCTAACACTTCCTTAGGGACAGAGTAGTGCTTGTACTGAATTGTACCATATACTTATGGTATAATTTTAGGCCACAGTTCAAATACAAAATGAATATAAGTAACAAAGTCCTTCAGAATCAGTCAGCTAAGAGCCGCCAGTGTGGATGAAAATATACTGCTAAGTTACTTCATAGGTTATTTACTTACCTGTGTCAACTTTTTTTTTTCAGTACTGTGACTTGAACTCGGGGCCTTCACCTTGAGCCACTCTGTCTTGGCTTTTTGTGATGAGTATTTTCGAGATAGGTGCTTGAGAACTATTTGCCCAGGCTGGCTTTGAAACAAGATCCTCCTGATCTCTGCCTCCTGAGGAGCTAGGATTACAGGTGTGAGCCACCAGAACCCGGCCGTTTCAACTTTTTAAAAAGTAACTAGAGGGCTGGTGGAGTGGCTCAAGTGATAGCATGCCTGCCTAGTTCAAACCTCAGGACCACCACCAAAAAAAAAATAACTAACATTTAAATGATTAAAGAAATTTTGAATGTCACTGAATTGAACTTGGTTATTTAGAATTATAAAAGTATCTTTTTTTTTTTTCCAGTACTGGTGTTTGAACTCAGGACCTGCAGTTGCCAGGCAAGCATTCTACCACTTGAACCACACCTCCAGCCCTTTTCTGATATACTTTTCAGAAAGGGTCTCAAACTTTTTGCCTGATGGTCCTCAGACTGAGATCCTCCTACCTATGCCTTCCATGTCACTGGGATTACAGCCCTGCTTGTTTGAGATTGGGGAGGGGGCGGTGGTCTCACTAACTTTTTGCCTGGGCTGGCCTCAAACTGTGATTGATCCTCCCAATCGCTGCCTCATGAGTGGCTGGGATTATAGCTATGAGCCATTGAACACAGCCCTCTTCTAATAGTTAATATGTTATCATCATCATTAATATGTTTGGGTATCAGACCAAAACAAGTTTGTTAAAATACCTCAATTTACTCAAAAGACAAAAAAAGTAAATGTGAACAAATTAATAAATAATTCTTTTTCCACATTATAAAAGAAATACTTGCTCGTTTTAGAGAATTTGGAAAATACAGAAAAATATAACAAAATCATTGCTAATCCCAGTGGCCAGGGAAAAATCATAGTTTGGTACATTTACTTCAGAGTATTTCTGTGTGTATTTTTTTTCCTTTTCTTAAACAAAATCGAGCATAATGTACATAAGCTGAAATCTTGCTTTTGCACTTAGTATCCCATGAGCATTTTGTTTTTTGAAAACAAAGGGCTTCAGTGGAAGTTTAGACAGTATTTAAATAGAGCACAAAGTGCTTAAATGGTGTTAGAATAGATAATATTCCATTATTGTGGGAACTATAAAAGTTAACTATTGCTGGGAGCTGGCAGCTCACGTCTGCAATCCTAGCTACTCAGGAGGCAGAAATCAGGAGGATCACAGTTCAAAGCTAACCCGGGAAAATAGTTTGCAAGACCCTATCTCGAAAAAACCCTATCACAAAAAGGGCTTGTGGAGTGCCTCAACGTGTAGGCCCTGTGTTCAAACCCCAGTACCGCACACAAAAAAAAAAGTTAAAAAGTTAACTACTTCTCTCTTTGGGTGCTTCTGTTTCTAATTCTTTGCTATTATGAAAAATATAAGCATAAAACTATATAATTTAGAAATTAAAATGTCTGATTACTTTCTAGGACACGATTCCCAGAATATCACAGTAGTATCCAATAAAAGAATCTGAACATTTTGAAGTCTTTAAACTCTTGAAGCCTACTGCAAAATGAACATGTAGTCTGGATGAAATCTATAAAAAATCCTACTTAATTACTACAGTAGTATTGGCATTTTAAAAATCTATCTTTGCCAGCATTGGTTGGACTCAAGTCTCTGTGTTTACAGTACAAATTCTTTTACCCAGCTTCCACTTAACCAATTATTAGATAAACCTGATTCACCTTTGCCTCAGTGAAGAACTGGTGCACTGGCAGGCTGAGTTAACTAGTCCACTCTGGGACACTGGGTGCATTTCTGCTTCCTGGATGAGTTACTTCTCAATTGTGTCCATTACAAACATGCTCAATCCAGTTATCCTTGTAGTAAAATAACTGAATTAGCTGAAAAATCCTATGTAAAGAGAAAAACAAAACTATGGATTCCGCCCTCATTCCTTTGTAAATGCTTTGTGTTCACATCTACTTTTAAAAACCTAGAACTGCAAATCTTAGACTGGTGGTTCTGAACAGGGCAGTACTGACCCCTAGGGGTTGTTTTGGAAACTTGTGGGGCATTTTCAGTTAGTGGATGTGGAGCAGGGATATCAGACATCCTGTGATGGCTTGTAAACTTTGGCAAGTCCCACTGGGTATTTTAGGTAAAACGCGTGCTCTTTTCCTCTTAACAACTTTGGGCTTCACATAATGACTTCTTTCCAAAGAGCACAGTGTGGAAAGTGGGTGGGCAGGAGAAACTTGATAAACTGTCAGCCAAGTGATTAAGGTTAACATCATTAGTGATAATGTGTTGTTGATGGCATGTACCCTTTTTATGTGATGGGAAGGCATTTTTACCTCAGTGGTCTTCCTCTTAACCTAGAACATCATTTCTTCCTTTTCTTCAACACACACACAGACACACACACACACACTCTCTCTCTCTCTCTCTCTCTCAAAATCTCAATTGAGAAATATGCTAAAAAGTATTCCTTGAACCTTAAAACTACCAAAGTCATCTAAAACAAGGAAAGTCTGAAAAACTGTCATAGTCTAACAGAGCCTAAGGAGGTATGAAAATTCTGAAGAGCCTTGGGAAAGGTTTTTCATCCTTATTAAAAATATGTGACTAATAAAAGGTTATTTTCTTTCACTGGACATTGTTAGCCTTACATGCAATACTTGGGATGGTGATATCATTTTTAATATTATTGGCCTAAAGAGAGAAATGTCAGAAATGACACATGGGGAAGCTGGAAAGAACTTGGAGCTCTTGGTATCTCTCTCGACCCATTCCAAATCTTGAAGTGTAATTGATTTTTCCTCACTGCCAGCAGCAAGAGGATTACTGACACAACCTTCTTCACAGGCAGTCGTGGTTGTACACTGCCATGGACTGGATGTTTGTATCCATCCAGGATCATGTTAAAACTCAATCCCCAATGAGATGGTATTTGGAGATGGGACCTCTGAGAAGTAATTAGGTCACAAGGGACTAGTGTTCTTAGACATAAGAGATGATTCTCTTGGCCGTGGGACAGTGAGATGCCTGTCTCCAAGTCAGTAAGACAACCCTCACCAGACAATGGATCTGTTGGTGTCTTCATCTTGGACTCCTCAGCTGTCCAAACCGAGAAATAAATGGTTAAGTCACTCAATTTATGGTATTTTCATTACAGCAGCCTGAACTAAGACACACAGTTATGGAGTCCTGGTCAAATACTGTGTAGGAAGCCACAGGTGATTCTTGTTCAGCCATCAGCATTTAATTAAAACCACCTGTATTTAAATGAGTCCTAGCCTCAGCTCTGCAGGGTTCGTGGAAGCTGACATTCTGTATTGACTGTAAGCTACAGAATACTGCTGTCTTATGGAAAATAAGAAAGCTCCCAGTGCTCTAGGTTCATCACTTCTCAAACAAGTTTATTGGGAAGTGACTTGTTCTAATCCCTAGCAAGAGCTGGTCATACAATATTTTGGAAGACATAGGAATGAACATAAGGAATAAGGACTATCTTTTAGCAAGGTTTACTTAACAAGTAGAGAAATCTTTTCCCCATGGATATAAAGTTTGAATTACTGACTTAAGAAATAAGCCTCCCATCCTAGTACTCATAATTCTACAACTCAACATGTGAAATTGGTCTTCCTAAGCTCCTGTGACTCACTTTTTGATACTTGGTCTTTTTCTCTGTGTACTTATCTACCACAATCCTTTATTCCTTATTTCCTTTCCTTTCCCCCACATCCTTACCCATAGAAACTACCTGGATTACACGCTGCACAGAATTGCAACCATTCCTGGCTCAGCATGAACCTGTAAGCCCTTTCAGATTTTTTCAGTACTCTTTAAGGGCAGTCTTTTAGAAGAAAGAACTTACATGATAAAAGTTCACAAATTAGTCTTACTTAAAGTTTTATTTAGTCTATACTTACGATTTGTTTAGATTGCTCACATAAATTCATGTTATCCAAAGAGGAAATGTAAAGTGCTTCTAGCAGTGCAAGAATAGTTGGTGTGGCCTATCGAAAGGTCTTCCACTCTACAGAAAATCTAAATGTAGTTCAGCCATCAACTGGATATTTTTATCCTCTGGGCCATAAGAGATTTTTCAGAATCACTTTGATCTTGAAACCTGTCAAATATCAATCACAGGAGGGAAGCCCACTGAGCTGACTTCTAATAGCTCAGTTATGTTATTACTGAATCTAATTTTTCATAAATGAGGACTGGCATCATGAAGACCTTGGGATAGGGAAACTTCTCATGAGTAATGTAAGCATCACATAGGCAGGAATGACTGGGTGTCCCTAGAGCAGTCTTGTGCTATAGTCTTCTATGCTTTTTTACCATGGTATTCAGGCCCCAGAGCCAAGAGCACAATGTACAAACTCTGAAAGTTCTTACAAGAGACTAGTTAGTACTATGAGTAACTGAGACATAATCTAAATGTTAAAAATGATGATCTGAGTACTCCAGCTGATTCACATTGCCTTCAAGTCATCTTGCATGTCCAGCCTACTTTCTTTCTCATAGGATAATTGGAATATTAAATGATATAAAGTATGTTACTCCAGTGTCTGGGTACCCAGTAAATATTATTCCCTTCCTTATACCCAAATAAATGAACTTAGTCCTTGAACTTTGAAAGTATTTTATAAACGAAAAATAACTTCATTTTTCTATCAATGTCCCTGTCAGCATGATTCTGAATTGCTCTCAAGAGTACCTTCTCTTTTGTAAAATGAACACTTTATATTGTTTGAAGTACACATGAAGTTTCATTTTGTTCAGTGTTCTTTACTTTCCATTGTGAAAAGTTATTTCTGAGGAATTGAAACCCCAGAAGATGGGGTTTAAAAAAAATGTTAAATTTTTTTTTCTAAATGATGATTCAAAGGCAGTCTTGAAGAGAATAGTTAGGAGATAGATGGCAGCAAGGCAGCCTCTGAAGGGAACTGTTCTAATTATTACCTAAAAAGTAAAATTATACAATTACATTCAAGGTCATAAGATAAAGCACTACTTTAAAACTTGAATGACTAAACAGTTAGGTAGAAGAAAAAAAAAAACAGCAAAAAGAGAAAAGGGAAATGGACTTAAAATTCATTTGAATCAGGACAGTGATGCACCAGTCCTGGATGTTCCTGCCACCTGAACACCTTGAGTCACAATGTCTGTCTTCCATCTTCACTGACATTCCAGAGGAGCATTCTCACACACTAAATAATAGTTGCTATTTTGTTAGGATTCAAAATTTCAATCCAGTAGCCATCAGGATCCTGAATAAATGCCAGACCTTTCATTTTACCTGCAAAATGAAATCTTTCATTACTGAAAAGAAAGCCATTAAAAATATTTTTATTAATCCAACTTTGAATTAGCATTTTAATGACATCCATTATTTTGTTTATAGTTTTAATTTTTAACACACTGTTAGTGTTGCTCAAATGCACGTTTTTCACAATGTCTAAAATGTTACTTTCCACACAAAGCTGGAAACCAGCTTTCCTACAATAAACTGTGGGATGCACTGTATCTGTTAGGTATTGGGTATTGACCTGAATTTCATGCTACCAGTTCAGAAGTCACAGAAATTATTTTCAAGAAGAAAAACATAGGGAACTGGAGGTGTGGTTCAAAAGGTAGAGTGCCCACTTTGCAAGTGTGAAGCACTAAATTCAAACCCCAATCCCACCAAAAAAAAACAAAAAGAAAAGAAAAGACAGGGAGGTGCTCAAAGGAGTAGGAAGTATGGCTTACTCACACCACTAAGATACCCAGAGGCTTGCATCTCACAAACTCTTAAATAATATACTCAGTAACCCAAGCCCTGTCAATCAGATTCTCTCTCTCAGGAATTCATAACTGAGATGGAGAAGCTAATATGTCAGTTATTTGCTTAAATGTGTAAATATGACCAGAGAAATTTCCTTTGGGACCAGGATGCTACACTGGTTGACTTCTATCTCTGGCTCCTTTTCACAAGGTCAAGGAACACAAAATGGGGGTGGGGGAAGTAAAGAAGAAAAGAAAGTCCTCCAGGGTAATGATTGAGGAAAGGAATGGACAGGGATGGGTGTGACTATTTTAACCTAATCCTCATGGGAGATGGTGGTATGGACTTGAACCAGAAGGCAGTGTATCACAGCTGTGAGGGAATAATCAAAAAGTTTTGCTTTTGCTCCTCTCAGTGCCTTGGGCATCAGCACCTGCCTTTGCATTTGCAGGGGCTCAAACTACTGGTTCACAGATGTCCTCAGGAGTAAATAAGGATGGTACAGAAAGCTTGTGCTTATGAGGAACCTAAAACAACAGGAGGGAACCAACCGAACTTCCTACCCTTTTTCTACACATTTAGGGCCAGGGAATGACAGCCTCAGAAGTGTCTCCCACTGATACTGCTTTTTCCTGAGAAAAAAAGGGGTTGTATCTGATCTAAAGAGTCATTTTCTGGAATGTAGAGTGTTCAATTCTAGGTGTCTACGGATCTCAGACCTGGATTTATCCAGTCCATTTTCTTGAGATCATTCTGGTTGTTAAGAACTAGGTCCGGCCTTCCCTAATTCACGCCGCCTGATGAATTAGAATAGCTAACAGTGGCAGGGGGAAACAATAACAAGAATCTGAGGAAAATAATTATAACCCTCCACAATGGATTACAGATTCAAATAGAAGATGAAATATTAGAAAAATGGACCAAGAGCTATTAATACATGTGAAAATTAGAAGCAATATGAAATTAAAATAAAAAAACATTAAAGGAACCAAGCAAAAATTAGGTGAGAAAATTATAATGGGTGAAGAACACCCATGAGCTAAATACCACGTTCATTTAGGGAAAAATAGCTAATTGGTATACCAGTTTAAGGAAATCTCTGAGAAAGAAGGGAAGAAAGAAACAATATAAAAGCCTCCAGAATGAAACAATATAATATACAAAGAAACATAAAGCAGACTGATAGTATACAAAATGACAATGAAGTATTTTCAAGATTAAAGGAAAAAGAACTGGGGTATAGCTCAAGTGTTGGAGCACCTGCCTCACAAGGTGAAGCCCTGAATTCAATATTCAGTATCACAAAAAAACAAAAATGATAAAAGGAAAAAAACTAGGATTTCAACAAAACTCATTCACATGTAAAGGCATGGTTCTCAGCCATACAAAGTCCCAGCAGGATTGCCTCACAAATTCTTTGAAAACAGTTCTGGTCGAGATACTTAAAGGGATAGAAAAACCAAAGACACTACAAGTGATATATGGAAAAAAGATGCTCAAAATACTTTAATATGTTTATCATTATCTTTTAAAAACATGCCTAAGTCAAAAAAAGAAAAGAAAGAAAATCAATCAGTATTCCAATCTGGGTAACAGTAACATGATGGGGATAGAAGGAAGTAAGTTACTTTCTTTTTGAGGAGATTTGGGTGTTATTTTAATTGAAAAAAGAATTAAAATGAAATAATTCAAATGTGTTTCAAATGAAACATTTAAAATAACAGCTAGATGTAATCCCAGCTACTCAGGAGGCAGAGAAAGAAAGATCATAGTTTGAGGCAAAAAGTTAGTATGATCCTCCCTCAAAAATAAGCCAGGCATGATGGTACAGGCCTATAATGGCAAGTAGTCAGGAGGTGGAGGTATGAGGATCAAGGTTTGAAGCTAGCCCTCGGCAAATATATGAAACCCTATCTCAAAAAACAAAAGGTCTTGGGGCATGGCTCAAGTCACAGGGCACTTGCTAGGCATGAATTCAAGACCTAGTACCACTGAAATTAATAAACAAATAAACAGAAAAATAGCTGAGCATGATGGTATATGCTTATAATTCCAGCACTTGAGACTGAAGCTAGAGAATTGTGAATTCAAGGCCAGCCTGGGATACATAAGTGAGTTCCAGGCCAAATTGGGCTATATAGTAACTTCCAAGCCACCCTGGACTACTGGGAAGACCTTGTTTCACAACAAAATAAAAAAAATAAAGTATGATGGCAGAAACAGTTCTCAGTAAAATAACCATGATACATATAAATCTAACAAAATCCAGATATATCCTATCTCAAGAGACATACTTAAAACATAACTACATACAAAGGCTATGAAAGAAAGGAAAAGGGCCAGACACAGTGGTTCACACCTGGAGTCCTAGCTACTTGGGAAATGGCAACTGGCAGGATTATAGTTCAAACCCAGGCAAAAAAGTTCAAGAAACCCCATTTCAACCAATAAAAGCTGGGCGTGGTGGTGTGCACATGTCATCCCAGCTACTTGGGAAGCATAAATAGGAGGATCAAGGTCCAGGCTGGGGGGGAAAAGAAGGGGGCAGGGGGTAGAAATGACCCAAAAAATGTATGCACATGTGAATAAATGAATTAAAAAAAAAAAAAAAAAGTCCAGGCTGGCCAGGGCATAAAAAGGAGACCCTACTTGAAAAATAACACAAACAAAAAGGGCTCGAGGCATGGCTCATGGTACAGTGCCTGCCTAGCAAGTTCAAGGACCTGAGTTCAATCCCCAATACTGCAAAAAAAAAAAAAAGTATTAATTATTAATTAAAGTATGCTGGCATAGTTTTATTAAAATCAGATAAAACAGACTTTGAGGAATTTTTTTTTGGGGGGGTGGCCAAATAAAGTCTGAAATAGTGAAAGCCGGTGGCGTTTAATGGCCCTTTGCATCCTGTGTTCAGTGTCCAGTTGTTGTCCTTCAGTTCCCTAAGATATCCAGGTAGTATATCAATTTTTCTTCTTTTCTTAAGCTGGTTGAAGTAGATGTCTGTTGCTTGCAACCAAGAAGGCTTTACTACAACAGTGCCTCTATTGGTGCTAATAATATTACTTTATTAAAGAAAGTAGACTCACCATCATCAGGTTTCTTCACAAATTTGACTCCTAGTTCTTCAAATCTTTTACAAGCACCATGTACATCAGGAACAGCAATTCCAATGTGACCTTAGGTGACACCCCACCAAAAAAAAAAAAAAAGCCAGAAAAGGAAGAAATAATTGCAACATTGTATCTAAGTGCCACAAGTGGCTTCCAAAACTGAGTCAAATAGGTTCAAAATGTACACTAAATAACCAATATAACTCTAATAGCTAGCTATAATAGAGTAAATGTTTTCTCTGGATTATACGTTATTTAAAATAACCCAATACTAGATCGTATATAGTTCAATCTGTCAAGAATAATCTATACCGGGGGAGGGAGAAATGACCCAAACATTATATGCACATATTAAAAAAAAAAAAAAAGAATAATCTATACCAAAAGACTTATCATTTGCTCATTCTTAATAGGCTTGGTGCTGGCACTGACTATAGTAGCAGCCAACTGAAGCCTGTAATTCTGTCATCTAGATTTGAGATATTTTAGATCAAGGATCAAGGCAGAAGTGTACACTAACAGAAACTGGGATTACTATTGGCCATCGTTGGCTTTTTGTATGTTTGTTTTTAATTTAGGAGTCTACTGAAGGGGGCTAAAAGTAGTTAGAGTGCTTTCCCAGCATGCACAGACTCTGGATTCAAACCTCAGCACTATGGGGAAAAAATAGAGTCTACTGAAAATATAATACTGAGGCATTAAAGTAAAATCAATGTTAAAGAGTAAATGTAATGTTTAAACTTAAGACTCTAAAATGATACAATTCCTAAATAAAAGCATTTATGGAAAATAAAAATAACCATATTTCTAATAAATTGATTACACTTGATAATTAGGTCACTAGTGTTTTAAGTTTATTATAACCAGAATATGTACACCATGCAAAATCACACAGATCCATATAGAACATACCAACAGGCAAACATACCAAATCCCCGAGGGTCTGAATTGCCACTGTGGTAACTCTGGGTCTCATCCTCTTCAGTGCCCCAGTTGCTACAAAAGAAGGGAGAACATAATTTTCAGTCCTATCGGGTAGCTGGGGCAAAAAGTTAGTGAGACCATATCTCAAAAACACCCATCACAAAAAGGGCTGGTGGTGGAGTGGCTCGAGATGTAGGCCCTGAGTTCAAGCCCCAGCACCACCAAAAAAAAAAAAGAATTGGTAAGAAAACAACAATAATAACAACAACAACAAAAAAAAAAAACCTTAAGAAAATTTAGAACATATAAAAAGAAAAAACCTTATACTCACTGTGTCAACTCAAGTGTAGCTTTTCTGGAGAATGTCCATGCTGTTCTTTCACTTTTGTCTTTGGGAATGTCATTTTTATCCTCATAAGCCAAGAAATAGAGTGAAAACTTCATGGAAGGAAAATCCAATTTTTGTAGTAGTCTGAAATTAAAAACCAACAAGCCTAAATCATTAACAAGAGGAAAGGCTGATTCATACTAACATCAACATAACTTGGTAATCAAATTCTAAGAATAAGAGCAATACAGAGAGAAGAGAAGCTATTTTAATGGGAAAAGTAAGGGCAAAATCAGTAGGAAAAAAAATCTCTTAAAAGAACAGTAAATGCAAAAAGAAAAAAATTAAAAATCTTTTAATTCATTGATTATTCATATTTTCATAAAATTTAGCTGAATTACAGAACTTGTTTATAAAGGGAAAAGATTACTAAAAATTTTTTTTTGAAAATAAACAGCATATAATGCATTATCCTATTATTCTTTCAGATGTCTGCCACTCAGCTAAACACATACATTTGCTGAGTTCTTACTACGCTAAACTTCTTGGAAAGGAAATTGAGGGTGGCTGGTAGGGAGAAGAAAGAAAGACGGATTATGCTCAGGAAGATGGGTGTCAACAGGAAGGTGGTCAGTAGTGTCAAATACCATGGAAAGGTGGAGCACGACTAAGACTGGAAAGGTCCTGTGAGAGCAGCTTCAATGGTGGGAGCTGGACCTCATGCACTGGGGAGGAGAAGGGGAATCAAGCAAGTAAACCAGCAGCCAGTGCGGCATGTCCACAGATAGGTGACAATGGAAGGGAAGGCAAGAGAGCAGAGAGCGAGATACATTCCATAACACTTAAGCTTGTCTGTAGGTCAGTGGGAGGGACTTGATGTGAAAGGTTGAATAAACTAATTCTGAGGTTTTTAAATAAGATAATTGAAGTTATTGCTTATACAGTGACTTTAACAAGTGTAGGATTATTTTGCAAGGAATAGAATGAAAATGCATATAATACAATTTTCTTTAGATTAATGAGGATTAAATGCTCAAAGAAACTTGTTCCTAATCAATAAGAACAAATGGTTGAAACAGCAAAAGGAAAGTTTCTTGAGTTCTGCTTCAAATCTTTTATTTATCACTGCTTCCCAAAATGTCTTGGCCCACTGAGATCCATGCATTGATTTATTACAAATAAGATTTACTTCAACTTGCTCATAATAAAGTATCAAACACCCCAAATAATCCAATCATGAAAAATGATTCTGCTCCTACTAGAGACAGCAAAAGCCTAACTGACCAGTCAGATGGGAACTGAAGCAAATAAACCTGTTGCAACGTCTTGCTTTTTTCAGCAGAGCCTACATTCCAAGTTATTGTCAAGTTGTTCCCTATTTGGGGCCCCTTTAAAATCAAGGTGAGGAGCTGGGGTCTTGGCTCAAGTGACAGATTGCTTGACTAGCAGCTGTGGGGCTTTCAATTCAAACCCTAACACCACCAACAAAAAAAAAGCAAAACAAGGTCAGCACTGGAGTTAAATTCCAGCTCTGCATGTGCCAACTTCGGGATTTCATCTCTTTAAGCTTTGGTTTCCTTACTTATAACATGGGGATATATGCTCCTCGAGGCCTACTGTGAAGGCTGAATCAAGTAACATGGGAAGTGCCTGGCTAACAGAAAATGCCCAGTAAATCTGCTTTCATTCCATCCTTGAAATATTCCATATGCATGTGCTGAACTTCTTTTTTTGAGAAGAATCACAAGAAACTGATAGGAGCAGTGATCTCTGGGGAGAAGGACTGGGGGAGGAAGCCAAATCACTCCTAATTTTGTATTTTCCTGAATCAGCCAAGTTTTCTAAATAGAGACATATTACTTGAGCTGTTTTCTCAAGGTCAGTGGAGGTTAGATAGGAAATATAATTTAATTTTATTCTTTATATTATCAAAAGCAAACTTAAAATTCCTATTGTCTACAGAAACAAATCAAGAAAAGTAAAATTGTCAGTTATGCCTCAATAAAACTGAGGGAAAAAGAAAAATATAAAGATGCCTTAAGGATTATGAAATCAGCAAAACCAAATGCAGTCTATAAAAATGGAACAAGGACCAATTTCCAGTAAACTCATTCATTTTCTAAGCATTGTGTCCTTATATTTAGGTTTTCTAAGGGAAACAAGAGGCTACACGCCGTCAGCATTTAAAAAGGAGTTAGCTGGCCAGTTCTCTGGAAGACAGGAATTTGGAGAAAACAGAAGTATTTGCACTTTTTGTTACCCATGACCCTACCATGAATAGGGAGGAAAGGGACCTTAAACTAAGCCCTATTTAGCCAGGCCTCCTTGCAGCCTTCTGCCTCAAAAAACTTACTTTTGAAACAAAGTTTTAATTTTTAAAATGGGCCTGAAAACATTCCCTATATTTACAAAGCTATGGATTTAAACATTAGGGGCTAATAAACACTTACGTCATTCCAAGGACTCTAGTGTAAAAATCCAGTGACTTCTTAGGATCCTTAATTCGTAGCATGGTCTGCTGAAATAGAAAATCCTAAGGAAAACAGTATACAATTAAACATCTTTAACTTTTACCACATATTACCAATACAGTTGTGCTTTTTACAACAAGATATAGTCTACCATTGTAACATAATGTTAATAAAAAGGAAAAAAAAAAAAAGGCAACTATACCTTCAGCATAACCATGAAAATCACCTGGAAGCAGTTCCCACACCTGCTCCTATGACTCTGCTCAGTGTTTTGTGATTGTAGGCCCCTGGGTGGGGAAGGTCCAGAGTGCCATGAATTTGCATTCCAGGAATGACCCTCAACCAATGGTGGATAAAAAAAATTTCTAAGTGTCAGTAGCTCATGCCTATAATCCTAGCTACTTAGGAGGCTGAGATCAGGAAGATCACAATTCAAGCCAGCGCAGGTAAATAATTCATGAGACCCCATCTCCAAAATAACCAAAGCAAAGTGGACTGGAAGTGTGGCCTTAGGAGTAGAGTGCCTGCTTTGCAACTGTGAAGCCCTGAGTTCAAACCCCAGTGCCATCATAAAATAATAAATAAAGCAATAAATCTGTCTTTCTTTCTCTTTTCTGGGATTTTTTTTTTTTTTTTTTTGAGGTAGTGTAGTGCCCATATAGCCTGGGCTGGCCTCAGTTGAACTCATGATCCTCCTACCTCAGCCCTCTGGAATGCTGAGACCACAGGCATGTACCCTCACCCCAGCTTCTTACTGGAACAATTCTGAAGCTGTTTCACATAGTCCTTCAAAAGCTCCCCAGCAGGATTGAAGCCCAGCTGCCCAGAGTGACAAGAGGTACATCCTCTTATTGGCCACCCTTCACCACTTCATGACTACCTCCCAAGTAAACTACTTATAACCACACCCTTGTCTCCAGTCTGATTTTGGAAGACCCAAACTAAAACTTTATTTGAAATAGCAAAGAGTTCAACCACTATAATATTTGTTGAATGAATGCATTTATTGGTAGCTATGTAGCTAGAGTCCTAAATAACTAAAAGGTAAAAAGTTACTGTCTGTAATACTTTTGTGAAACTCTTAAATTTCCACATCAGAAAACAGAAGGCTTGACTGATAAAAGAGTAGAGACTATATCAAGTGATAGAGCTAAAATTATTATTAGCATCAACAGTCATACTTTGATGAGGAGTGTGGCTTCATCAGGCATAATAACTTTGTGAGGTATTATAAGATAAAGGTTATTAATATTCCTATTTTAGGGCTGGGGGTGTGGCCCGAGTGGTATTGCTGCAAGGCCCTGAGTTCAAACCCCAGTACTGCAAATAAATAAACAAATAAAATGGCTGCGGAGTGGTTCAAGTGGTAGAGTGCCTGCTGAGTTCAAGCCCCAGTACCAGGAAAAGAAAAAAAAAATGGGAAGCCGACACTGAGAGAGTACATTAATTGTCCAGGCCTCCTGATTCTAAGTCGGGCCTCCTTTTACCGTGGGTTCCTTCCACCTGTAAGCCTGCTAACCTCAATGATCCTAAGAGTTTTATTCTGTAATAGTCATGGACTTGACAAAATAGGCCTGAAAATTCTGGCCACTTCCTTTGCAGCCACATGGCCTCTTCTCTGTAAGTCACTTAATTTAAAATACAAATACACTTTACTCATTCTGTATCATTAGGAAATGCTATTTTTCTATTTTGCTAATTTAAAAGCATTAAAATTCTCACTTAAAACAAAACTAGCTTAAAAACACTATCTTATTAAAACTGATTTTTTAAATCTTTATTTAAAACTGATATTAATGAATACTTAAGTTTCTTATTCAAAGCTTATAGGGTAGATGGCTCTGAGGTTTCCAGACTATTCGGGTTTCAAATATTTTCAGTCTGGGGCTGCCCTCTTAAAGGTCTCCATTTTGGCAGGTGGGAAAGAGAAAAGCAGCTCCTGATGTGTGGTCGCTAGCTTGGCACTCACATCTAGGCCTTATTTCCCATCATTGAACATAGTCACAAAACCACTAAGAGTCACTCTATGACTGCAATGAAGTATTTTTTATTAAAACTTTTTTTTATAAAGCAGCAAGACCACTTCCATGTCATATACTTGTCTAAGCATGGAAACACTGAAAACACTACAAAAGACAAGTCTCCCTCTCACAAGTACTGTGAATGACTTCTGCTTCCCCGCCAATTGCTGTGTCCATTTGGGAAGGCCAAGTCCAAGCCAAATCTTATGAGTGCTCTTTCAGGCAGACCACAGGCATTTTCAAAGGCTGTTCTTGGCAGGCCTGATCGGGGAAAGCTGGGCTGCCTCACTGGACTTGGTGCTCTACCAGTGTATTGCAGGAAAAGCCCACATTCTAAAGATGTCCAAGATTATTCTAGCAAACAGGTACTACTCTGAGGTACTTGGCAAATGGAATTAAGGTTACTAATCATTGGCCTTAAAATAGGGAGATTAACCTACACTACCTAGGTGGTTCAACGTAATCCAAGAGACCCTAAGAGCAGAAGAGGAAGGGAGAAGAGAGGTGTGGCAGTAAGAAAGTCAGAAAGATGCCAAAGGTAAAACAACCTATGGGTGCTGGCTAACAGATGTAGGGGCCCAGATACAAGGAGGTACAGACAGACGTCCAGAACTACCACCATTCCTGCAACTGAGAGCCAGTAGGGAAACTGGACATCAGCCCTACAACTGAATTGTAGGAATTCAATTCAAATTGTAGAATTGAATTCAGGCAACCACCTGAATTTGGAAGCAGATTCTTCTCCAGAGCAAGGAAAACAGCCCTGTCAATACCATGACTTGAAACCAGTAGAACCCATATTGGACTTCTAACCTACAGAACTATGAGATAATACATCCGATATTATTGATCTTTTCTCCAGTATCCTGAGACCTTTCATTTCGCAAACAAAAGGAGGAAAACATAAAAAGAGAGGACTTTTTTGAGAGGCAATATGGTTCAAATGCTGGCTCTATAACTGTGACCTTAAGTAAATCATTTCTTTCCTTGAACCTCAGTTTCTGTTTTTTTTTTTTTTTTTGTGGTACTGGGGCTTGAACTCAGGACCTTCGCCTTAAGCCACTCCACCAGCCCCATTTTTGTGAAGGGTTTTTTGAAATAGGGTCTCGCACACTATTTGTCCAGCAGGCTTTGAACCACAGTCCTCCTGATCTCTGCCTCCTGAGTTGCGAGGATTACAGGCATGAGCCACCGGCACCTGGCAGTTTCTACATCTTTAGAATGAGGATAATTACAGCTTCTGGCTTCTATATTTTAGTTGAAATGTAAATAGGATAATGCACGAATGTGCTTGGCACAATGCCTAGCTCAGAGCAAGCTACTTTGCTTATTATGTTTTACTGCTGTTATAAAATAATCCCAGAGTTTCCACTCCCAACTATTGCTTTTGATTCCCAAGTCTACATTCCCCCAAACAGACCTCTAACCTCAACTCTGACTTACATCTCTAACATCTACTCATCGTTTCCACAAGGGTCAAGATACCAAACTTATTACAGCCCAAACATACACTTTTTCCTGTATTGCAAAGAAGGAATGTTTCAGCCACTCCTTGTTAGCCCAAGTGTGCCTTGGTTCTTCCCTCAACACTCCCCAGTCCAAGTATCTTATTGACCTGCCTGCTTAAATCCTCCAGGAATCTTTGTCCTACTAGCTTTCCTGATGATCAATACCTGTCCCAAATCCTCACTACTTCAGGTCTGGACTATTGTCTCTCTGCTTCTTGTAGGCTTGCTGAAATGCAATTCAGAATGATCTTTCTACAATGAAAACCCAATAATGTCATTTCTGGGTTAAAAATGAATCCTACAGTGCTTTCTCAAAACTTTTGGAAGAAAGTCCTAGAAGCAAGCACATATGATTTCTGTATATTTCTTTAACATCATCTTTTACCCACTATTCCCCGAAACTAGTTATCATACATTTTCTATTTCACACTTACCACTTAGAAAAAAAATGTAGGTACCCTCAATAAATGTATATTTATTTCAATCACATGCATGTTTAATATAACATGAGGCTGGGAATGTAGCTGTGTCCGATCATGAGTTTAGCATGTGCAAGACCCTGGATTCAATCCTTACAAAAACACACATACACACATTTACCAAGTAGAAATCTTTACAGGGTAAGAAAAACAAATGAACATAATGAAAGTTCTCCAATTTTCTTTTAGTACCACAATAACTGTTTTGTCTACCTTCACCTGAACTCCCACCACCTATAACTTCAGTCTGATCCTATAGGAGGGTTGCTGCCTCAGGTCTCTGAGATCATTGTACCTTTATGATTCTATGTGCTTACAACATGCAGCCATCCTTCTTCTACCCTTCTATTCCTTTTCCTCCTCATCTCTACATTCAACTCTGCCTATCTCCTCCTTGCTTGATAAAATACAGTGTTAAGTGTCACCAACACTGAAAGTTTTCCTGGACACCGTTCCCTACCACTCAGATGGAACAGTGTTCCACATTCAAACACACACACACACACACACACACAGAATGATGTGACAGACATTGGTAGTAGCAATTTAGAAATAATGGCAATACTGAGGACATTGTCTGTTGTATCAAAGGACACTAATAGAGATTTTTAGGAGATCACCACTTGGAAGGAAGAATATTTGGCTGAAGAATGTCAGCTGAGTAAGACTGAGCAAGATACAGGATCATTTCTCACTACCTGTACTAAATCTAACTTTCTTAGATGTGACATTCAAAGTTCTCAGGGTCTGTCTCCAACCTACCATACTAACCTTCTCTATTACTGCTTAGATAATGTAAACGCAATCAAAGACATTTAACTAATCTACCAAGATGCCCTGTATTACACGGTGTGGTGGTGGGGGGGGGTGATATTGGGGATGGAACTGAGCCTTGCACATTTTGGGCAAGTGCTCTACCACAGAGCTACATCCCCAGCCCATTTTTATTTATTTTTTGAGACAGGGTCTCTTTATATAGCCCAGGTTGGCCTCCAACTCAGGCCGGTCTTGAACTTACGATACTTCTATCTCAGCCTCCCAAGTGCTTGGGTTACAGACATGCACCTCCATGCCCCACCCTATTATCACATTTTCCTTTTGTCACTGTCACATTTTAGCAAAGTTGTTTCCCTCCCCTAGAATGCCCTCCCATGTATCATGGTCTGGGAGAACCCCACCCTGACTCAAGGCTGGGTCCTACCACTACCTTCGGCTTGATGACCCCACTGCTGAAATACTACCATGAGTTGTGTCACTCTTGAGATTGACAGACTATGCCCATGTCATTTTATCCTCATAGCAGCTCTCAGCTATATTTATGCTTTGCTTTTACAAACTCTGCCCAAGATCCCTGCCAAGATTACTGTAGCCACTGAAGTGAGGATTCAAATGCAGGTCTTCAGACTCAATACCCTGTGCCGTACCATACCCATCTTACATCAGAGTTGCTGTGTGTGGTGAAGGGAGAGGTCCTTATCTTGTTTTTTTCTAATTTACTCCCAAATGCCTACCATGTTCTTTACATATAGAGGACAGTTAAGTGACCAAGCTGAATTTAATTCATTGAGGGATTTTTTTCCCTCTTCATGGCCAATTTCGAAATTACTGCTTGAGTGAGTACCTCAGAAGCAGACGAGGGTGGAGACTGAGAATATAGGCAACTCTCTGGGCAAGTCAACACCACTGTATCTAAAGCTCCCTATTTGTAAAATGGAGGTAATTATTATGACTTCCTCATAAGAGTTGCTGTGAAGGCTAAATTAAGTAATATATTTAAAACACTAAGCCAGGGCATAGCACATACCATATATCCCAACTATTACCATATATTTCATTTTATGTCTTTACATAGTATTTTAAGGGTCAAAAATTACTGATCTCAAAAAATGACTCCAAATCAAATGAAATTTATATAATGTGGAATGTAAATTAAGAAGCAAGAAAGTGTATTTAACATATTTTTAAAGATCTCCTAGGATTCTTTTTTGTGGGGTGCTGAGGTTGAACCCAAGGCCTCAAGCATGCTAAGCATGCTCTCTACCACTGAACTACATCCCCAGTTCCTAGAACTTTTTGTTTGAAACAGCCCAGTACATAAAATCCCCAGCTATCTAGGAAATATATTTATACTGAATAACCTAATTTGTAATATATAAAATAATTGAGTATTAATATTAAGATATATAAGAATATACTTATGTATAATATAAATGTATTATATAAGGGATATAAATTTACATATACACATTTCTATGTATATAGAAATACATATGTACATATTTCTATGTAGATATAATTTCCCTCTTAATTTTGCAGTGAGTAACATTTTTCCCAAGCTAAGTACATACCAGGAACTAGTCAAAGGCTTTAGCAATTACAAACGAAGCAGTTAAATGAATAAATGCATAGGCGTTTACTGACACTGATGACTACACAGAAATAACCCCCTGGGCGGCTGCTGTATCTAACCTTGGCACTGCAGGCAGGCACCACACCCGAGTGATCACAGTGACTCAGTACAGCCGCGTTAAGTGAACGACTACCTATGCAACAGGTCGTGCCTCTTACTGGGTCACAACTGTAAAACAAACGAGGGTCGGGGGAGGAATTTCCACGATTCCCTTCAGATCTAAGCAACATGATCCGGGCTCCACCGCACTCAGGGAGCGCAGAAGTGTGGTCGCGACTCACAGGAAAGGCCAAGCAAACGCGGAGGGATGTCAGTAGCTTTAGAGGAGTAAAGCCGCAATCGGAGCGGCTACAAAAAAACGAAGGACCTTTAAATCTCTGGCTAGGAGTTCTGCAACTGCTCCTACATGGGCTGTAGCGTTTGACCTGGGGAGCCGCACACCCACAAACAAGGACTCTGACCCTGGATTGGACTGGCTTCCAGATACCGTCTCAAAATAAACAAGCTGTGCATGTAGGTCCGCGGTCTCTGAAACAACCCCCACATCGCACTCCATTTTATCCCCCTTTCCAGCCCACTCCCGTCCGCCCAACGCCGGTGGACCTGCAGCAGCGGCTGGACGGGGTTCGAACTGCACCGGGCGGAGTCCGGCCCAAGCCCCAGAATCCGCGCCTTCCAATGGGCCGCAGCCATGCCGCGTGAGGTTCCCGTCACGTGCCCACCTTGGTACTGGGGTCTGCGTCGGAGCAGCAACTGAAGGCGGCCTCGTCAGTGAGGCCGCCAGACGCGGGCTGCGGTTCTGCCATGGCGGCACTGCAGGATCACCGACAAGGGTGTGCAGAGACTGAGCGGCCACCGACAGCCTCCACCAGACCCTGTGCAACCCTTACTGGAGAAACAGCGCGACGGCGCCGCGGGGCGGGCACCCCCGGACTTTTAGCCAATCGCCGCGCTAACAGCTGCTGGCTCTCTGCTGATTGGATATCTGAATCAGCACCTTGGACGGCAAGGCTCTGTGCACTCAAGACTACAACTCCCAAAGTGCCTTGCGCAAAAATGACGGCCGCTCTTTAAAAAAAAAAATGTCCTGGCTGGGAAGCGAGATTTTTGTGTTATGAACTTATTTTTTTTCTATTTAATCAAAGTTTGGTAACCACCCATACCTCAGGGCGGAAACTTAGTACAAAAATGGAATCTTACGGAGCGTGAGAATTGGAAGTTACTCTTTTTAAGTTGTAAAGAGTCAAAGTTTATTTTCTCAATTTAAGCAGCCTGGATGATTAAAATAACTTAGTAAAAACCCTAAATTTAAGTTTTGGTTCCACGACATATTTGCTGTAGAAGCTTGGAAGTTACTAATCCCCATTGAACCTCCTTATAAGGATTTGTAGAGAAATGAGATTTAAACCACGGTTTTGTTACCAGATTCAAGACACCAGGTGCGGGGACCAGAAACTTCTTGGTGTGTAACAGAAGAATTCAAGGATGGACACAGAGGACTTAAGCAGAACCAGGTTTACTAATGCAAAGCAAAGCGGAAACAAAGCAAAAGTGCAATCTCCCCACAGGAGAATGGGCAGGCTCCTGAGCCCTGCACTGGGGTCCCAGCAAGCTTTTCTTGGTGTCTGTGGACATGGGGATATCTCCTGGAAAACGGGATATATATCCTTAACTGGTTATGGTTATGCGTCCTCAAGCTCTCCCACGTGTTGGTGGGAGTTGCCTTGGGCAGACAGGGGCTGTAATTTTCCACAGGCTCTGAAGGCTGCTGGTCAGAAAGAACCTGCTGAAGTTCACAAGTCATTCAGTTAAGGGTCAGCAGTTCAGGATTTGGGATTCCTTATTAGCTTTCAAGCATCATTCTCAGCCATCAGGTTTCCTTAACTCCCTACCTAGCCCCTTTGCCAGCATGACTATGTGGGACTTCAAAATATGCTATCCTGAAATATATTACTTGGACATATTTTTAATTGGCTATCAGAGAAACTGCAGACCTCTGCAGATACAGGAACACTAGGAAAGGCTATCTTTTTGTAAAAGAGATTTATATCTATAAAGGAAATCTTCATTCATGAGGTAAACAGCCAGCACTTCCCAGGGCCCCAAGCCTCTTTTCCTTTGTTTAGCCTCTATACAAATTTCACCTATTTAGTCTTCCATCTGGGCTCATATTTTGTGTATGAGCTGTGATTGTTCCCCTGTGCGTGTTAGTTATATGTTTTCCTGTTAATCTGTCTATTGTCCATCTATTTAACAGATTAAAATTACCAAACCTTCTGATGGAAAAGTGTACAACTCTGACTTCTTATGATCCAAATGTAACTTGCAGTATTTTTACATTAATTTTGTGAAAGTACATATAGATAGATGATAGGTAGGTAGATAAATAGACAGATAGGTTTTTTTGTGTGTGTGGTACTGGGGTTTGAACTCAGGGCCTACACCTTGAGTCACTCCACCAGCCTTTTTTTGTGATGGGTTTTTTCAGGATAGGGTCTCTCAAACTGTTTGCCCGGGATGGCTTTGAACCGTGATCCTCCTGATCTCTGCGTCCTGAGTAACTAGGATTACATGCATGAGCCACCAATGCCCGGCTAGATAGATATTTTTTGAGATGGGCTCTTACTATGTTGCTGTACGGCCTGGAACTCCTGCTCTCAGGCAAATCTGTCTCAGGCTCCCATGTAGCTAAGATTACTTGCACTAGCCACTGATCTCAGCTTGGCTCATAGTAGATGCTCACGAAATATATCTTGCTATTAAAAGAATAAATGGATACAATTGTTGTAACCCTAATTTAGCAAAGGGCTTTATGGTTATAGAAGAATGAGACTTGACAGTTTTTCAGTGAATAGAAAGTCTATGTAAATATACAAGAAGATAGATGGCTGACCTTTGCTGGAAGGATCTGGACAATGGGAACTTATTTATTGGCTTACTGAAACAAAATAAAGAAGGGCAGGGATGCATAGGGCACTAGCCACCATGTCTTCATCTCCCGTCTCAGCTTCTTTCTGCATGCTGCTTCATTTTGTCTTGATACACTAGCTCTGGAAGTCTAGAAGTTAAGCTTCTCTCAGGATTAACTCCTAGTAAGAACTAGGAGAGGCATTCCAGTCTGATAAATCCAGGAAGGAGCTATGGGAGACTTGACCCAGGATCTGGGCTTGCTTCTGTGCTGGCCACACTGCCATCGGCAGTCTGGATCAGGACCATCTGGCTACACTGTGGATGTCTGCTGCAAAAAAGATGGGCAGGGTAAGAACTTCAACAGAAATTTTGTGCATGTTTGGCATTAAATAATTGAGGATATTTCATCAAAACTTGGTGTACTAGAAATCTAAAACGTCAACATGGAGGTCTACCTTAAAGCTGTTTCACCCAGAAATGGAGGGAAAATGTTTCATACACCATGCATTATGACCAAATTATTCACAAGTTGTCTTTTTTACCCCTGTCTTCAGTGAGCTTCCCAGAATATGTGAGAGGTAAACCATGTAAATGGATGGTAAGACTCAGTACCATAAAATATCAAATCACATACAAATTAACCAATTAATGTAATGCAACTCCAATAAATTCTGACAGAATTTTTTCATTAAGCTGAATAAGCTGTTTTAGGCCCCAACCAGGGATCCAACCAGGCCAGATAGACATACTGAAGAATAATTAAGATATTAAGAATAATTAATACCCTGCCAGATAACAAAACAATATAAAGCTATAGTAATTATGCCAGTATGGTAAGACTGTAGGATAGACTAATAAATGGAAATTGTGGTGTGTTTATACCTCATCTCCCTGCACTCAAGTATGAATGGGACTTAGTTACTCACTTTTAACACATGGAATATTACAGAACTGGTGGGAGATCAATTTTGAGATTAGATTATAAAAAGGCTGTGATCCTTGCGCCTCTCTCTCTCTCTCACACACACACACACACTTTTTTTTCTCTGATCACTCATCCAAAGGGTAAGCATTCTGCCTCATCATGAACAACACTGTGGAGAGACTCAGGAACCAATGTCTCTAGTCAACAGCCAGTGAGGATGTGAAGCCAGTCAACAGCCATGTGAGTGAACTTGGAACAGTGTCCTTCAGTAGGAAAGCTTTGACATGACTGTCACTTCTGTGGACCTCTTAACTTTGGCCTTGTGAGAAACCATGAGTCAGGACTACTCCGATAGGCCATTTCCAGATTCTGCACAGAAACTGTGAGATAATGTTATGTATAGCTGCTAAATTGGAGGGGTAATGTTGTACAGTAACAGATAATTAACACGGATAAATGTGTAAAACTTGATGTACGTCAGAGCTAGCATTGCAGATGAGTAGAGAAGTGATGAATTTTTCATCAAGTGGAGTTAGGATAATTGGTTATTTATAAGGAAGAAAAAATCTATTTCCTACCATAAAGGAAAACAGAAGTCCAAGTAGATTAATGATATAAATATGAAAAAGCCAAACTTAAAAACCCCAAGAATGAAATATCATAGAAATTTTTATAAATTCATAATAGGAATGTCTTAGTGAGATACAAAACACAATATATAAAAGAAAACTAAAACTCACGATCCAAAGGTAAAAAAATGAACCACAGAGTGGGAGAAGGCATGAGCGATACGAACAGGCCAACATAGAGTCAGTATACAGAGTATGTAACAACTCTCACAAATCAATGAAAAAAGATAACAGCAAAAAATGACAAAATAGAAGAATAGGCAGTTTACAAGAGCGAGAACAGGAATAGCAGATGGAAATTGATTCCAATTTTTTAGTACATAAAGAAATCCCCTTTTATGGCCTTTGGATTGAGAGAAATTAAAAAGTTAAATATCTATCAGGATGAAGTGTTGATGTGGGTGTCGAACAAGAGAAATTCATAGGCATTTGTTGGTGGAAACCGTAAGTATTAGAAATGCTTTGGAAAATAATTCAACAGTATCTAGTGAAGTTAAGATAATACAGTTTAGGCCCACTACTAAGCACATATCCTAGAGGATTATCATACCTACACTTGGTGAGACAGGTAAAAAACATATTTGAACAGAAAAAAAAGAATGCTGAATTTCCAACAGTAGGAAACAAGACAGTCATGTCATAAAGTGGATTACCATACATAAGTGAAAATGAATGAGCCAGAGGTACATAGTCCAACACGATACAACTCCCAAATAGAATGAAAGAATTACGAGTTGTAGAAAAATACATGTAACACAGTATTGTTTTGGGTTAAAATACGCAAAACAGTACTGATGTATAGCTTATACCTAAATACACATCTAGTCATGGCATCAGGAAATGCCTGGGAATAAAAAGCTCTGAATTTGGGAAATGACTTCCCCCTGGGAAGCAGTGGAAGAAGCAACAGGGGAGGGATTTCCTGGGGGATTTCAGTGTTGAGACTGTTTCATAATTTAAGGTGGATGTTGGGCAAATGAATAGTGCTTGTATGGTACTTTACAGCTCTCTATAATCCTAATTATTTTAAAATACATTTTAAGAAGCTAAAAAGTAATAAGTACTGTATATGGAAACAAAAGGGAAGATCGTGATCATGGAGCAGGAATAGTTTAGAAATAGTCCCTACTTGAGAAGATGTATGTTCAAACAGTTTAGAAAATTTTCCTTTTTTTTTTTTTTTTGGTAGAAGGGGTGTGCCAGCTTCC